CCAATTTCTCCACTCTCTGCCCACATTTACTCTTTGGAGGCTGCAACTCCAAAAGTTCAGAGATAGTTGTTCACCATATTGTGACTATGTGTCTCTGTGGAGACTCCATATTATGTTGTCTCCACTGACCCCAGCTCCTGATTTCATGGGTGAGTGCTCTACAGCACCCCTTGCACATCTTAACTTGGATTTGTCATTGAGGGTAATATCAGAAAATGCCTATAAAGCATCTATCCGAATGCCTGAGATGTTGGGGGCTCTCCACAGAATACGCCTGATACGTTGGGCAGCATGATGTATGGGAAATAATCAAAACACTGCCTTATTTCTGTCCTTCATTCAGATGTTTCTCCTGTCACTAGATGAAAACTAAGCAGAACCCATGGCTCACTCTTGGGTTACAGAGGGTCCCACAGTCACTTTAAGTCACAAAATACAGTCTTGATTCAAAATTAAATTGTCTAGTTCTAAGAGATTAAGCTACTCTTCCCTCTTTATTCAGAAGTTAACATTTCCTTTCATTCCCTACATGCTTAGGCCATCAGAGTCCAGGAGTGGGAGGGAAAAGGGGAGGAGAGGTAAAGGGGAGAAGCAGAGTCCTCACTGGACTGGTGACTGACGCTGTCCCCAGTAAACCCGGCAGGTGCTTAATGCTGACTCTTGCCCTCCTATCAGTTTTCTTGTCTGGACTGTTCCTGAAAAATTCCCCATACACATTTTCCTTTAGCTAATTCTCTTCCACCTTCAGGTTCCCATTTATTGCTGTTCCACCTGTTTTGGGTGGAGCCCAAACCTCTGGCAGGAGCTTTGCTAGGCAGAAAAATCTCAGACCTTTGAAAATGACCCCATGCCACTAGCCAATGATTTCTTAAATAGAGCACATAAAAGATTGATAAATAGTATTTCATTAGGACCTTCCAGAAAGCAGGAAAATGTTGCTCCAACTTTAACCACAAGAAAAAGCTGAATAGCCTACAACATCAAAACTTTTCTTGAACCCATCGGAGAAGAGGTTATGGGGCAATAAGCTAGCCTGAGATTTAAAGAAAGGTAGATGTCTTACCTTTCTGGTAAGAGCGACTGGCTTACCTCAGGCAGAGCCCCTGGGAAAGACAAGGCCATCTTAGAAGGGATAAGAAGATTGCAGGTAAAACTCTGTGATGATCCCATAGTTACACTTTAACAATTTGCTGCTGTGGCAGAGTGTTAGCTTCTGTATAAAACCCATGGAAGCTACAGACGTAAGGGGAATTTACACCCCTTCACAGACTTTTCTCTACAAACCTCACAGAATGCACCTAAGAAAGATGGAGGTCAGGGTAAGTGAGCAGAGGAAGTCCCCTATGGGTGTGCAAGTCAGCGAGAGAGGAACAAAACCCTACTGAACAAAAGGCGCTGTGGGTGGGGAGGGATGCAGAGCAGCAAACCCACCAGGGTGCAAGTATAGACCCTTTACAGCTGGGGAAAGGGAACAAAGAAATCTTCCTCTCCTGGGGAAGAAGCAGCAAGCTCTCTCCCTCACAGGAACAAGCAAGACCTGAGGCGAGTTTGGAGTTCATCTGCCCTGGGGAGGAGGGCACAGCTACTGACTAGGTCCTGGCCCCAAGACCCAGGGACATAGGTCATGCCCAAGACTGAGGCTGAACCAAGAAAGCAGAATGCCTCTTCCCCAGCCAGGCTAGCAAGGGGCTAGTAAGAACCTACTGCAGCGGAAGGTGCAAGAGGAGCAAGTCTCTCTCTTGGGCTCACGTTCACAGGGAAAGCCTGAACCCTACTCCCACCATAAGCAAAGTACCACTAATTGCCAAAAACTGAAGACAATTGGTGAATGGATAAACTGTGATAAACCCATATCATGGAATACTACACAGCAATAAAAATGACCAAACTATTGACATACACAATAACGTGGCTGGATTTCAAAGGCATTATGCTAAGCGAAAAAAGCCAGACTCAAAAGATCACATACTATAATGGTTACATTTATATGACATTTTAGAATAGGCAAACTATAGGGACAAAGATCAGTAGTTGCCAAAGGCTGAAGGTGGGTGAGGTGTTGACTACAAAGAGGCATGAAGGATGGCTGACAGTGATGGGCTACATCCTGACTGCGGGGGAGGTTATGTGTCAGGCATTTGTCAAAACTCAGAACTGTACACTGATTTGTACAGTATATAACTTATACCTCAAAGACATTTAAAATTAAAAAAAACAGAATTTCATTAAAATTAAGAAGGTTTGTTTATGAAAAAACAATGTTAAGAGTGTGAAGAGACAAGTTACAGATTGGGAGAAAAAAATAGAACCTGCATACAGAATATGTAAAGAACATACAAATGAGTAAGAAAAAAAGGCAGACGATGGAATAGAAAAATGGGCAAAGAACCTAAGTGGCCATTTCACAAAAGAGAATATTCAAATAGCCAATATGCATAAGAAAAGCTGCTCAATATCTTTATTCTAAGTGCAAATGAAAATCATAATGAGGTGCCACTACACATCCATCAGATTAGCTGAAATGAAAGATTGGCAACATCAATGTTGGTGAGGATGTGGAGCAACTGAAAGTGGCTGCAAATTTATATAACCACTTTGGAAAACTATTTGGCAGTCTTTACTAAAGTGAAACACCCATGAGCCTTATGATGCAGTGATTCCACTCCTAGGTACTTATCCAAGAGATATGAGGGCCTATGACCACCATAAGACATGTTCAAGAATGTTCACAGCACCATTATCATAACAGCAAAAACCTGAAAGCAACTCAAATTCCCATCAATAGGAGATCATACAAATAAATTGCGGTACATGTATATTATGTAGGAAGTACTACCCCGCTATAAAGAAGAACAAATAATTGCAACATGCAGCAAGGACGAAACTCACAGATACGATGAGTGAAAGAAGTATAAAAGAGTATATACTGTGTGATTCGATTCATATGAAATTCACCAATAAGCAAAACTAACCTATGGTGATGAATTCAGAATAGTGGTCATGAATGGGGACAGTATATACTGAGAAAAGGCATGAGAGAGTCTTCTGAGCAGTTCTATACCTTGACCCTGATGGTATTTCTATGGGCAGCATATATTTATAAAACTTTATTCAATAGCACACTTAGGTTCTGTGTGCTCTGCTGCATGTATGTTTACCTCAAGGTAATACAATAAAAAGAAAATATCACCTAAAGCATAGTTTAAGGACTAATGATAAGGTGTGCAAAATGAGTATAAACAGACTAGGAGTATATAAGGACTTGTCGTGGCCCCTGACCACCCTCCACCTTTGTTTTTTAGAGTCACTGAGTGTTCCTAATCAGTCACAGATGGAGAAGAAACACACATTAGCTCTGTAGCCCATGGTAGATAGGGCTTGATGCAGCTTCTATTGTTTTTAGGTCCTAAGCTTATGCAATGTCAAAAGAAATATATTTTTGTTTACAAAAATGCAGGGACTTCCCTGGTGGTGCAGTGGTTAAGACTCTGTGCTCCCAATGCAGGGGGCCCAGATTCAATCCCTGGTCAGGGAACTAGATCCCACATGCATGCTGCAACTAAGGAGCCCGCCTGCCACAACTAAGACCTGGCACAACCAAATAAATAAATATTAAAAAAAGAAAAAAATGCAGAGCAGACATTTTTCCTCTAATGTTTTAAAATAGAGACATTTGTTTCTATATGCTATTAACTGCTATAATATAACATCTACCAGCCTATTTTTTCTATCAAGAGAATATAATTTCTTGTTGCACCACCATCATCCTACCATGTCATTTATCAGTAAATTAATATTTGGGCACTGTATGTATGCTGTAACTCAATACAACTGTGTGTGTGTGTATGCCACATGTATCTTTATTTCTCAACCACAAACAAGCAGTTGGCATTATACTGCAGTTACAGAACTACTAAGTTTCAGAGAGCTGGCTAAGGTCACCAACTCCAGGTTCAACAGTTTCATGGGTAATAATATTGTTGGCAATTTTGTGAGGTCCAACCAGTCCCCTGCTCGGGGAATTAGTTAGCTCCCGGGTCCTGTCTCAGCTTCTCCAGTTTGTATGGTTCAGACCATTCTACTCTTTAAGTATAAGGAGGATTGCCAAATCACAACTCCCAGGCATCCTGGCAAAGTAAGCAGGTCACCTTAGGGGCAACCTTTACCCACTCAAAAATTCACCTCACATTAGCAGTAAGGATTTGGCACCACCCCAAATCATTATTTTCCTTACTCATAAGTTTAAGGCATGATACAATTCATGTTTGGTGGCCCTTCCAACGCTCCTAGAGAGGCCATATTCACATGGGGCCTCCAGGACTCATGCACCCGTGACCAGGCACAGCAGCCACTCTTGTTTTCAGTTCTGCCACTAACGTAATTCCTCTATATTTCCCTGCGAGCATCAGACACCAGTGCTCAAGCCTCCAACTACAGGGGTTACCCACTCAACTCTCCAAGTCATCCTGGAGGCCCCTCGCTGGGTCTGAGCAGGAGGAAAACCCTGTCTGCTCCCCCTCTCACTCTGCTGAGTGCTCACACACAGCCCATCAAGCTCTCCTTAATGTTTCTCTTCACAAATCCTCCCTCCTCTTCATAATTTGACCCTTTTTTAAAAAAACATCTTTAATGTGAATGAGAGGTCCATGAGTCTGAAGCAGCGTCAGACATTTACTTTATAATTACATTCTGCATTTTCATCCAGCACCTCACTCTGATGTACATACAGCATTTGTGGTTGGTATTGGACATCCTCAATCAAAACTTCAATACTCACCTCCTGTTATAGTAACTTCAGGTTGAACTGTATGAAATTGTTGATTGTTCACAATTTTTGATCTAAAAGAATTTCAATTTCATATGGTTCGAACTAAAAATTGTATTCAAAATAGGCTTTTTAGAGAAATGGGACTTTAGGTTGGAATTGAACAAAAGGGAAAAGTGAATTCTTAAGTGAATACCCAGGCAAATACTAAAGCATCTTCTGCAAAGCATCTCACCTTGGCTTTCAGATCAGCACACGCTTCCTGTTGCTTTTTCCTATCCTTAACCAACATGTTTTCCATTTCATGAGTTGCACAGGCCTCGGCCACTGTCAGCACAGCCTTCTGTATAAAGTCTCTCCTATTCTTACTCCAACTTGATATCAGGATCCTTCGCTGCTCCTTAGCAAAGCGATATTGGTCACAATATTTTTCATGCTCGACCTGAAAAGATAACAGGTGGTAAATGCTTATTATGAAACTGAGCCTATGCTTTATGTCATTGTTACAAAAGTGAATAAAATGAATTATAACCAATGATTTTGAAAAATAAGGGACAAACATCTTAATAGTAAATACAACAACCAGGACCAAGTACCAGTCCCAGAGTTCTGAGCCCATGGCTAACTGGTGACTGAGGACCAGTCATTAAATGTTTTTAAGTTTTATACAGGATGGAGTCAGACCAGACAACTCTAAAACAACTTCTACCCCTATATAGCAATGAATCTATGAGCAGAAAATATGATTTCCCCTACATATAATTTCAAAAATACTCCGTCTTTAAATCAGCTTTGCTGTATTAACAGTGACTCCAGGTGCTTCAGTTAGATATATGCTAACAAACATTAAAAATTGCCACAATAATCCTGAAAACTCAGTTTGCCCTTGATTACTGAAACAGATGTTCAGACATCTAAACTTGAAGTATTTATAGCAATGACAGTAGCCCTTCCCATCCCACACTCCTGAGGGACATGATATTCTTACATAGGTACCAATAGTTCCTGCTGCCAGTGAATCCCAACCCTGGGAGATTTGAGTCTGGAGGGAAAGAACAGGACGGGAGATAGCCTGAGTAGTTCGAAAAATCTCTGTAGGTGATTCTGAAATACTTATATAAAGGTGTGTCTCCTGCAATTGAGAGTCAGTGCTCTAAATAATTCTTTATTTTGCCAGTATAGTCCACATCTCTGAATTTGATACGTTACTTAACCCCTAAGTGATGTGAGAAAAGAAGCTAGGGAGCAGCATAAGGTTGGTCCTACTTAAAAAAAATAACTTAGGTATGGTTAATTAAGTACATAATGAAATGGGCTATGGCTTCACTTAAACCAAATATCAGCTTCTAAATTCTGTTTGGTAAACTTCTTAGCTTTACTCCCCTAAGCCAAGAATATGCTTAGAATTTGGCAAACATTAAGGAAGTATACACCATGCAGAAATGCATACTAATTATCCCAATGTAAGAAGTAAATGCAAAAATATTTATCATATTGATAGTACGCAAATATAAAAATCTACACAGTTAAAAATGACAGCTGGTCACAGAAGCAAACAGAATCTATAGGGAATAAAAAGAAAGATCTAATTTAGTAAATTAAGAGTTTTGTAAAATCCAGAATGAATTATTATATAACATGTTTTTTACACAAGAATTTGCTATAAAATAAAGGTCAGAATTAAAACAAATAATTGGGGCTTCCCTGGTGGCGCAGTGCTTGGGGATCCGCCTGCCGATGCAGGAGACGCGGGTTCGTGCCCCGGTCCGGGAGGATCCCACGTGTCGCGGAGCGGCTGGGCCCGTGAGCCATGGCCACTGGGCCTGCGCGTCCGGAGCCTGTGCTCCGCAAATGGGGGAGGCCGCAACAGTGAGAGGCCCGCATAACGCAAGAGAAAAAAAAAAAAAAAAAAACAAATAATTGGGTGGGGGTTGGTGGGTGGGAAAAGATAAGAGAGGTTGGTCATACTAGTTGTGTGGCCTTTGCCTCAGTTTCTTCACCTGAAAAGTAAGGATAACTATAGTACTTCTCTCATCCACTGTTATGTGCATGACAGGAGTTTACACATGACTGACACAGGATATATTCTATACACGTTAGTATTGTTACTTGCTTGACTTAAAACAATTACAAAATGCAGAGTATGTGATAATATTTTATAGCATGGCCTATTTAAAAGGTAAGAGTCAGACTTCCCTGCAGGCAACATGGGTTCGAGCCCTGGTCCGGGAAGATTCTACATGCCGTGGAGCAGCTGAGCCCGTGTGCCACAAGTGCTGAGCCTGCGCTCTGAAGCCCACGAGCCACAACTAGTGAGCCCACGTGCCACAACTACTGAAGCCCGCGTGCCTAGAGCCCGTGCTCTGCAACGAGAGGCCACTGCAATGAGAAACCCATGCGCCACAACGAAGAGTAGCCCCAGCTCGACGCAGCTGGAGAAAAGCCTGTGCGCAGCAATGAAGACCCAGTGTAGGTAAAAATAAATAAATAAATTTATTTTTTTAAAAAAAAGGTAAGAGTCTATGCATGTTTGTTTACATATATGTTTTAAAGTGAGTTACTATGAAATTCACTGGTGACATGGTAACTTCTGTTTCCTTGTCTATGTGACCTTGTCCACTAAAGAATGTAACCATAACTTCCCAGGGAAATTTCAGCCAGGACTCTGAGCTATGAATTTGGGGCATTTGTGTTTAGACCCGTCTAGGGGGATCAAGTGGAGTTGTGGTGGGGATGGTGTAGGTAGGCACCAGCTCCCAAGGCAAGTGTTGGCTTCCCCACGACTCGAAGGACTGAGGTGTGGTAGGCTATGTGAATGCAGGAGCAGGCACCCCATTTTCAGGCAAGACTCAGAGATGGCAGAACCTCTGAAATGGGCAGGTGAATGTACAGACACCTGGAGGTCAACACTAGCAGAGCAACCCAGGGGACCATGGTGAAGCTCTCTGTGGCAAGTAAGCCACAGAAGAGTGAATGTGGCCAGAGGGATCTCCCACATTTTTATGTACCACACTGACCTGAAAAATGGTAGACTTTCAAACTATAACCCTATTATTTTCTAGAGTGCAGAAAAAAAATCATTTTAGAGCACCATTTAAAGTATATATATATTTTGCTCAGTAATTATCAATCACTAAAACAATTTAACTTGCCAGCATATAGGGTCCAGCACTCACCAAATCATGCCTCGATTTGTGAGGAAAATGTCTTTGTAACATGTCCAGATACAGAGTCCTTCTGCCACTGAGATCCCCAGGATACTGATCCACAAGAGCCTGGTAAAACCAGTGGTCTTCATCACTTAATTGGAAGTTTCTGGAAGAAATAAAAATGTCACAATCATGGAGTTTGAGGGACCTCAAACTGTTTAAGCTGTTAGCGAATGATAATGATAATGCTTATATTAAATAAAGACTTTTAAAAAAATACATTAGCCAAATTAAATGTCTCCTATAGAAAAAGTTCTAAATTATAACACAATGGGTTCTTTCTATCCTTTATTTGGTCTTGCCATGAGTTTCAGGCATAATTTGAAGAAGTTTAACAATGAGACATAATATTTTTAAAATATTTACTCTATCTTGCCTATAACAATATTTTAAAAATTATGACCAATGAATGAAATAATAAATTATTAACTCTACAGATTAAAAAGGAATTTTGCTAATTCAACAAACTTCCTGTTTCTAGACTGGAGGAAAACACAAATGTAGAGAGTCAAATAAACAATACACAAAGGAAACTAAGGCCTGAGGAAGGCACATATTAAAGTTGACTTTAAAAGTAAGTCTAGGGACTTCCCTTGTGGCACAATGGTTAAGAATCCGCCTGCCAATGCAGGGGACACGGGTTCGAGCCCTGGTCCAGGAAGATCCCACATGCTGCGGAGCAACTAAGCCCATGCACCACCACTACTGAGCCTGCGCTCTAGAGCCCGTGAGCCACAACTCCTGAGCCCGTGCGCCACAACTACTGAAGCTGTGCACCTAGAGCCTGTGCTCCGCGACAAGAGAAGCCACCACAATGAGAAGCCTGCGCACCACAAGGAAGAGTAGCCCCCGCCTCACCACAACTAGAGAAAAGCCCACTCGCAGCAACAAAGACACAACGCAGCCAAAAAAAAAAAAAGTAAGTCTAAAATTATCTTTTATTTTACCCGCTCAGCTTCTTGCTTTGTGGAGGTAAGACTAGATATTGGTAGTAAAAAGATAACCAGTGGCATTAAATTTCAGATCACTAAAGAAATCATTTGTAACAGGATCCCTTCAAGTCACCTTCCCAATAACATATCCACCATGCTCCAAAATACCTTTTTTAGTTCAGAACTTTCCGAGGTACTGGCTTGGTTTGTGTATTAGCAAAGCCCTATGCAAAGTAAAAAGGTTACAATATCAGCTTGAACTCTAGACTGAATTAATGTTTCTTTATTATTCTGAGTTTATTTGCATATCATCATTCCTATTTAATAAGCTGGAATAATCAAATACAGATGCAATCAGAGGGAATATTATTAGCAACAATTATTTCTTTGATCCAAGATGGAGACTTGCTATTGTTTATTTCTATCATTGGCCTTCTACTTTAAAGTTAGTTGTGCAATTTAAAGAATTTTTACAGTATGTCCTCTATGCCCTTGAAAAATATTTGACAATTTAAAACAATAAAAACCTCTTTAAATCAGTGACACTAATGGGAATTCTACCATCCTCATCCAACTTACCCAGTTTCTGTAAAGTATTTCATGATACTGATAAGTAGCAAGAAAGAAACAAAATTATTTTTCAAAGAAGATAACCTTCTCTAACAGCTCTATAATAGGAAGAAAAAGTGGGCTGGAAGTGTTCCATTAGGAAGAAGCAAACTCTACATTTCTTCTGTATGACATAATAATATATTGCAGAGAAAGAATTTGAGATTTAATTCATTGAACACATTGAGTGTTTGGGGTCTCTCTGAATCAGTTAAGCCAAAGTCTTCTGCAAATAAAGCATCTCAAATAGGAGTATTAAGCCTGGAGAAAGGATTGCCTGAGTGGTTTTGGCATTTAAAACACCCTCAAGTCTTCAGGGACAGTATCTCAGGTCCTCTCTCAAGGAACTCATTTCATTCATGATAACATAAATGCATTTTAATAGCAGAGTTAGCCACATTTCAACATGGCAAGCAATCAGAAAAAGGAATAGACCCAGAGTCGATGTCCTCATTAATGCTTTTAAACTGTTTCTGTAATCAAAGGGACCTGAATACAGTTTGAATTTCCATCTTTATTTGATTACAAGGATAGACGTGTAGGGGAGGAGGAAGCGACAGAATCTAGGTCCAATAAGCTCTCTGTTCTTTTAAATTGTCATTTATCTATATAAAGGATGCTGCTGGTGCCAGGCTAGATCACCTTGATGAGCTAGAATTCCTATCTTCAAAATGCTGGTAATTCACAGATGTACCTTCCTCCTCTGAAGAACTGTCCTGGGCCAGATGGGAACTGCCTCACCCAGGAGGCTATTCTCCCACCACCTTTGAGAGCCAACCTCAACCAACGACTGGCTGACATGGGGCTACAGAAGGCCAGGCCACTTGCCTCAAGATGAGACCAACTCTGTGATGCCATTCGTGCTCCAGAGTTTCACTGTGGGAGCAAACTGTAACCTGTTTCCACTGAGATCTTCTGCCACAGGCATCTTCCCCTCCTCCGTCCTGCTTCCCTTACCATCCTTCTCCTGAGAGCACTGCCCAACAAATCACATGTTCTTACAATCCGTGTCTCAGATTTGCTTTTACAGAATTGACCTAAGATAATCTATGAGCAACCTTACCCATAATTGTCAAAAATTATTTAAATTCTTTGGCAAATGGAGAGGTACTTCTAAGCTAATTGTTTTGATGATCTCTCATACTGAATTGTGGTGTAAGATTGTGTCTATCCTCAAAGTGCAAATAGCAAACATTTACAAAAATGGTTTTTAAATAAAATCACACATTAAGCAGTGTTCATTGCTATAAATAAACATAGCAGCAGAAGAATTTGTGGTACTCAGTACATTTTTATACATTTCATGAATGTATTAATTAGGTGCCATTTTAGTGACAACATTAAAACCACTTAAACATATAAGATAATATAACATTAAAACTACATATTTCAAACCAAGTATGATATAAACAATGATCACATCCGTTTTGCTCCTATTGATTTTGGAAACCTCACATCTCAACAGCTTTTTCCAATTACCACAATTACACAAATTGTAAGTCATTTTTCTATTAGATGTAGGATAAAAACGAAAAACATGCTTATAAGAAATGACAGGGCTTCCATGGCGGTGCAGTGGTTGAGAATCTGCCTGCCAATGCAGGTGACACAGGTTCAAGCCCTGGTCTGGGAAGATCCCATATGCCGCAGAGCAACTAAGCCCATGCGCCACAACTACTGAGCCTGTGCTCTAGAGCCCACGAGCCACAACTACTGAGCCCACGTGCCACAACTACTGAGGCCCGTGTGCCTAGAAGGCAGTGCTCCTCAACAAGAGAACCCACTGCAATGAGAAGCCCGCGCACCACAACAAAGAGTAGCCGCCGCTCGCCGTAACTAGAGAGAACCCTGCATGTAGTAATGAAGACCCAATGCAGCCAAAAATAAAAATAAAATTATATTAAAAAAAACTTTAAAAAAAGAAATAATATAGATACTCACAATATTATTATTTTAGAGTACTTATAGCAATTTCCAGAGCTGCTGGCTTAAATTTTGAAGCAAATATTCACATCAGCAACACTATTGGCAGAGTCATGAATCTCCATTAGGATGCTGTCTGTGAGGGAGAAAACTTCCACCACTATATATATATATATATATATATATATATATATATATATACTGAGTCTTCTGGGTAGTAAAAATCTAAGATGAATATTCAAACACGATAGCCTCTTCACAATAACAAAGTAGCCATTTCCTACTTGGCATCTAAGATAAAATCAAATTTAACATATCTGAATTTCTAAATTCAAATCTGGACATTTATCTTTTCTAACCTTCATCTTTTCATTGTAGAAAAAAATATCTATATAAAATAGCAAATTATCCTAAAATTTTGTACTTTAAAAAAATATCTTCAGACAAAAGATCTTTGGTAGGTCTCTGCAATTTCCATTTTTCTGTCCATACAAATTTTCTAATTTAAAATGTTTCAGGAAATTTCAGCCTGCAGGAGGATGAGGTATTTATTGCTCAGTCCTTACCCTCCATCCCCCACTGCCAATTGAGGTCCACCAATATCATTTCATCGTGATTTCCCAGGATATGAGACAAAACAGGTAACTCAGAAAAGGAGGACGACAGGGCTGTGAGAATTCAACGAGACCAAGGCCAACTGTCTCCATAATTCTACCTGTTTGAATCGTTACAAAAATCCTAACCTGACTCACAATCAACTCAACTACCAGTTTTCTTCATAATCGTGTTAAACCACTTCCCCAGCGTTCTGGTTCCATGACATCAAAAGACATTTAGTGGGGTGGGGGCAGCTAGCGATGGCAAACAGCCCATGTAGGGCAACAGGTACCTTAACATCAGGGACAAGTCTATGAGACTAAACACTGTGTATTCAAACTGGGTGAACTTGTCTTATATTTTCTCAGAGTGAAGGGGGCTTTCCAGCAAAATGGTAATTAGGGCCTCCTGACGCTAGCCAATGCAGTTACCAGCATCTGATGACTACCTTGACTGGCAAATGGCCATAGTGAATCTGGATTGAAGAAAAGCTCTTGTCTCTTCAAGTGTAATGCTATCAGGGGAGTGAGCCACTGGTGGAATAATGTGGATAATAGATGGTTCTGACACAATCTGCTTGTTTGGCAGCATTGGGTCTGACCCTCTAGCAAATACAACTTGACACCACTTTTCAAAGTTGTCTTTCCAAATCATACCCATCCAAACACTGAATCTAATCAGCCTGGTTCCTGAAACTGTCTCCCTAGCTATTTACCACCCCACCCCAGGCCTGTTGTCCAAAAACAAATCTTTGATTTTCAGCCTGGTTTACAGAGGGCCCTCTCGCCGCAGACTCATTTCTGACCAACAGAATCGGCTCCTTAGATGTTGTTTGGGTATGTACATTGTCTTCCAGGAGATCATTCCCATTTAGCAGTCCTCACTCTCCTGGCTCCCCAGGCTCTGCCCAGTTTACCTACTCCAGTGGGAGTTGACAGCCAGAATAAAGTGGGCTCTCAGGAGTATGGTCAAAATCCACTGAATTGAAGAATCAACAACAAGAACAAAAGTGGTCCAGAAGATAAAGCCAGAACTTATACCAGCA